TTTTTTTTTTAAATCAAGGTTATAGAGGTACTTACATTTGACATAAATAATGTGTTAAAGTTGACATGAAAAAAAAAAAACTATTTTCTAAATGCATGTTATAAATGTGAGTATTTGTATTCTGAGTACTCTATTGGGAACAAATGTTGACTTTAAAAATTTAAAAAAAATGTTTTTTTATTATTATTATTAATTTACATGATGACCATCAGTGTCCCGATGAAAACAACAGACTTCTCTCTGGTGATGTGTGCAAGACTTTTTTGATAATTCATTGCACTTGTATATACACATCACAATATAGAAGAACATATATAGACCTATAAGCTAGACTTTAACACAATTTTAGTTGATTCATATTTAATTAAGGAATCAGAATTTAAATTGGCTCATCAATGCTGTGTATATAACAGGAATCTCTGTATAGTCCTACATTTTGGAGCTTACCAAGAGTGTTGACGAGACAGACACCAAACATGTCGAAGCACAGCAGTGTGTCATAAATAGGTGCTCCACCCTCATGGTTCATGAAGAGATGGTAGAAGACTGAACAAACGGTGGGAGAGAGACAAGCCAAATAATGCACCACTCCTATCCACCACTCAACTTCAGCCCATGGGATACTCAAAGGCAAAAACAGCAAAAAACAGATGAAGGGGATACCTGATGGACAAAACACCAAGAAAAGAATGTGTTACAATACAAGACTGGTTTGATATGAGTGAAATTAATTACTGTGATAGAGTCGATGCAGTGAGCAAGCCAAATGTGTTCCCTAACATTCTTAATATTTGCGTTTTCAACCAAATGTCCCCTGTAAATTGGAGACATACAGATTATGGAATAGTACAAATTTCTTGATAATATTCCAGTAATATCCTGTGCTTTTTAAAATCAAGAACCATCCATGCAGTCTGCATTTACAAACATACACGTGGTACTGTGATAGAATGCCACCTTTGCAATTAGTCAGTTTGTGAAATGTTATTCCTGCTAGATATTCCACGGTCAAGAAGACTACACTGTAAAAAGAATTCCATAAAATTTACGGTAAAAAAACGGCAGCTGTGGTTGCCA